TCCCGTTTCGCACTTGGGGCGAAACGTGCCCGTGGTCCCCATCGGTGTGGTGACAGCCGTTGGATTTTTAGTAGAGTCGGCTTTGAAAGGTCAGTTTAATGGTCCGTTTGTGTTTGCAGTCGTCTTGCTTCAGTGGAAGCTTCAAAACAAAGAGGTTAAGACGGCGTAATAAACGACATCTTTTCACGACATCTCATTAAAATGGCAAAATGTCTTTAAATAAGGGTGGAAACTATTTCATAGCACAACTTATTCTCCAAATAATCCATCAAAACATTTCCGTATGAACTGATTCGCAGGCTTGGCCTGGCTGTTACAAGTACGGAAGACAAACAATGTTGTATCAGACAAGACCCGAAAATGCCAATTTTGTATCAGAAAAGCATTTTCCTGTCACAACACTCGAGAGCTGCAACAATTCTCCTTCACACTTCCAGCCATGATAACAGCTTCAAGTGTCAAACATATGTCTGCGGAAAAAGCGTAGGAGAAAGTATCACAGAGGCAAAGAGAAGAAAGTATGCTGAATATCACAAGATTTTATGTGTCAGGTGATGTTGTGTTTTTTTATGCGTGTTTTTTCTTCATGAATAAATGTGATAATTGCTCTTGCAAAAATCCAAGGACGGCGCACCATATTGATCATGCTAAAGGTGCAAAAGCATTTTGCCTGGCTTTTCCTTTTTTCATGCTGTTACAGTAACACCGGTTTCCTGGCAGACTGCTGCCCGGGAAGTGTCTCCTTCTAACGTCGCTCAGTGGCAGCGGGCGAAAACTCCATAACCGGAATGAGAAAACATTACAGGAAACATCCAGCACAAGCTTCCGTAAAATGACTTCCCACTGTTGTTCGGTGCCCAACCAGATCGAGGGCCACATACAGCCGAGTGAGTGTAATTAACTTTTTCACAACTCATTTGGATAATCTCTTCCTCGGTTACCTTAGCTCGTGTGAAATTCCCAATTAACTATAACCCGGCAAAAAAAAAAGCATTCAACGCCACGTGAAATTTCTTAATGAATTCCTTTGTCTCTGACTGGCACAGATGAGGCATGAGAAAGGCACATGTACGGCGAGCGTATTACTTAGGCAAGCCCATGTGATGGTGCCCGTTCACGGCTGACGGAGCGTTGGTATCCTCGGGCACGGCTGCCAAGCTGCCAGTCTGTGCCGTCACACCTTGCTGCCTTTAAAGATTGCCCTGCAGAGACGGGGAGAGGGGGTGTGTGTGGCGGGGGGGGGGGGGGGGGGGGGGGGGGGGGAACGAGGGGCCCTCGCTTTTTAACAACGCACAGTCTGGCAACCCAGGAGGGTTTACGACTCGGGATCGGTGCCAAGAACTGCCCACCAGAGAGAGAAGGGGGGTGTAGACAGGGTGGGAGGATGCAAGGAGATATGGGTATGAAGCACACATTAACGCATGGTATGTGTGCATGAATGTGTGCATCTGAAAGCTTCCGCTGTACTGGTGTGTGTGTGTGTGTGTGTGTGTGTGTGTGTGTGTGTGAGGAGAGGCAGAAGGGTCCAATAGTAGGGTGTATATCCAACAAAACTGTATCGTAAATCAATTCATCAGGCGTTCGCTGTGACATGTTAGGGGAAAGAGAAAAGTGTCTGTATCCCTCAACAACATGCACACACACACACACACACACACACACACACAACACTCTCACTGCCTTTTCTCAGTAATCCACACAAATGGCAGTGGATGGCAGAATGTAAATGAGCTGGTTATTACACAGCAACGTTCATCAAGCTGAGCTGGAAAGACTTCAATGGCCCTGATGAATATGCATGCAAATTTGTTAATTAAGTTAATTATTCTGCTGAAAATTCATTTGTCTTCCCAAGGACATTTCTGCGATGATTTTAACATGTTTCCACCATTAGTCATGCACGGTGCTATTGAGAATCACTTCTGCTCACCTTTTGGAAAGTTGCGGCCAAAAAAAGGGGAGAACAGAGCACCTACGAGGAGGAGGAGGAGGAGGAGGAGGAGGAAGAGGAGGAGGGCCCAAGCAGGTAGAGGACAACATATCAGGGGCGTGGAGTGTGTTTGGAGGTAGACGGCAGCTGGTGCAGCCTGAGGATAAGGACGGGGAAGCCAAAAAGCGTGGTCTGTTGGATATTAGCTCAGTGGGTACAGCGCCGAAGAGCCGCAGCCGCGTCTGGAGGTCCACTTCCCATCGGGTCCGTTCCAAGCTGAAAACGTTTTTCATTCACAGCACCGCCGAGCACTTTGCACCGAAACGTTTATCTACTCGGTTTTGTTTCATGTGTAGTGGACAGAAAAGGGCGTGAGGTTACATTCTTTACAGTTTACTGCAAAAGTTCAATGAATAAATAAATACACGCTTTGATGGATTGATTTGCTCATTTTAATGTAAATCCTACTATATAACAAAGGCCTCAGGAGTAGAAACAGTGTGATACAGTGTTAGAGTGATTCTACCGGTGTTGTTGGCTATAATGTTCACCAATATTTACACAATTGCTGTCATTTTTGTGCCGTGTCATCAAACTGAATTATAATCCTCTTCAACAACTATTTTTTAATTATTTGTCTTTTATTGATAAAAGGTTTATGTTGATTTCATATATTTTCGCTTATTTTAACCCAAACTAATTTTGGTTTGTGTTTTCAAAACATATAATGTTTTCTGTGTTTACTTTGTCAGGTAACTTTTATTCTGAGGATAACAAATGGCACAATTAAGCAATTTCAACCAATTTGGACAAAAGCCAAATATCTGATGTGAGGGTAAGACACAATAAATCAGATGAAATATCAGGAGAATGCAGATATCAGCGATATAATCTTTTTAAACATAAATTGCAGGTTTATTCCCACCAAGAGGTTACTTCTCGTTGACAATCCTTCACCAGTGGTTCTCCACCACGTCACCATGAAGCAAAAAAGATACATGGAAAACTAGTCAACCAGAAAAAGTAAAAGTTCCAAAGCGAAAGAGAAACAATTGAAAAAAAGTGGATAAAAAAAAATCCAGATGGGAAAAATATAGCAGGAAACATCAGGATGATACATCAAATGGCCAGTCTTACACCAGGCAGCTCAGCCTTTGCAGTCGCTTTAGTCTGGCTATCCAGATGTTTGATTTGTTAATTAAGTCCTTATCGCATTTAATCAATGTATTTTCTTCAGTCCGTCAACAGCAGGTAAGTAGAGGACGGCGACCCTGAAATAGAGACAGGCTGCTTTGGTTCCTTGTGATGAACATTTGTGTTTATAAAAACTCATGCAGCCCCAAAAAGTCTGTGACTGAAAGAAAACAAAGAACGAATCGTACACTGAGAATATAACATAGTCCCACTCTGTCTAAACTCTTTGTGCATGTAGATCGTTATCAATAATCCAGTAGTGCTGAAACAAACAGCATCCCGCCAATACCCATGTCCCCTCTAGTGGAGAAAAGAAGCACTGCATTGGCAAAACAAGGCCGAGATGCAGAATGGCAGCTATCCGTTATTCATTTTTACATCTCTTAAGAATGTTCTGCAAAGCACGTCACCTTCCTGGACTCGTGATTGAGCAAAGTACAGATGTGTTTGATCCCTGTGAGTGAAACAGTGAATCTCATCCTCTTTTCAAACATTCTATTCCCATGACAAGTTCAATCAGGATGAGGTGCATTAGCAAAATGTCATACATGCCAGTTTATGTCGTACATGTATTCAGTCATTCATTATTTGTTCACTAAAACAGTTGTTTCCGATGATAAGGCTGACACACCCAATTGATTTGCTCGCATTTTCCTGACGGTCCAGATTAACAGGCGATAGGACTTTATTAGCAACGTGCACAAAATACACACACGTTTTCACAATTTCAAGGCATCAATTAAATTCACATATGGTTGGGGTAATTATCGTTGCAGATAACTGGAATTAAAGAGGAGAAATCAATGTGAAAAAAAGAGGGTGAGGTGCCCTGGAGAAATGAAGAGCAGGGAGTGAACGTTAGGGCCAGGGAGTGCTACGAGCAGACACCGCGTAAGAAAACAACAACAGCTGTTTAGCTTGTGGCTAAAAACAGGATGGAACAACAACACCATTTGCTAAGAAAATGATCCGGGGAAAGATATTGTACTGACTCGCAGATATGAAATAGGATGCCTTAGATGGCCTTTTCCATTTTATCTCCATCTGGTGTGTTTTCTTCTGTGTTGCTCCAGTTTTTTGTTTTTTTTTTATCCTCCATGATTTTTGATGCCATTAATTCTTATAATAAATTCCCTGCATATTGTTTTATTTGCATATTAAAGACACAAATCCCCCCTAAAGCGCATTCGGAGTCCTTTTCCTTACAGCTGAAACTTCGTTACAAGGTAAAATGCATCTCAGAAACGCTTTAAGGGACCAAAAACAAACTCGTAAATTGTTGTAACACGAGGAACTTGTGCAAGATGGTGGGAAGGCTGTTCCCTAAACTGCCTCGTATACGTGCAGTGCATGTTTGAATCGTATCTATTCAGACCTATTTCAACTGGATTAAGACTAAATTAGTTACTTGTATTGATTGTTAGCCAAATGTATTGCTGTGATTGCTCACACTTATAAAAACTCTCTGCCGAAGCCTGCCAGAGAGTGTGTGAGCGTACCAGTGACTGCTCTGCCCTTGACTTCTATCCATTCATCCAAGCGTGCTGGATGGTTTAGTTAATTAAGCTTAATCTACCCCCCGAGACAGATATGAGTGCTGTTACAGCGGCCCGCTGAGGTATCCCTGTGCTCTCTTCTCTGGACCCCCCCGTGGAGCCGCCAGGGGCCCGCGCTACTCAACCATGTTCAAGTACACGGACGGGGCTCTGGAGAAACACGTCACGTGTAGATAGAGTTAAGGAACATTTGGACTACAGAAGAGGAACCAAAACAGGTTTGTGAAATAATGGAGTTAAATGACTAAAACGGTTTGAGTTGATGTCACACATACATTTAAAGAAACCCAACCAAAAGCAAGTTGAAGCGGGAGCACAAGGTTAATAGAGGTTAATTGATTTATTGACCTAATCTTTCGCAAAAATACAGATATTTACATAAATTAATAAGAAACATTAAGCAACTTGTGTGTAAAAGATCAATTTTCCAAATGCATGCTTGATTCACAAATAGATAATAATCAAAACATACAAATGCTTCATGTCTGTGAGTGTTTGTCTGTGATTTACAAGAGCGCCAATCCCACTTTGATTAAATAATAATGATGTTATCACAAATGTGTAGTTCATCCTGTACTTCCCCATGTGATCAACAATCATCACATTAACGTCGAAGCGTGAGACTACAATTAATTTCAAGCAAATCACATTTATTATCATCTTGTGGGTTGATTCATTCTGTGGAGCGAAATCCTCCCAACGACAGTTATCTGAAGTGCTGATTTGATTACACTCGAAAACAAATTGTTACGTTTCGTAATAGTGAATGAACTTTAGTCAAACAATTTTTTAATGCTTCCTCTTTCAAGTCTCTGCGCTGTGACCGTCTGCAGCCACTCGGCTCTGCGCGCTACACTCCTCTCTCCTAAATATTAGAATACCACATCTCTGTGGTTGCTTTCTTTCTTGTTTTTCCACTAATGACCAGTTTGTTTATTTCTGTAAGAGCTTTTCACTCCCAATCAGTATTTATTATATTTTAGTCCTCTCTGTAACTCTTATTCTGTTGAGTGAATATTTGTTCAATCCTTTCCCTAAATTAGTGGTTTTCCAACCTCAGCTTAGCAACTGTAACCACTCTTTATCTCAAAAACGTATTTTTGTTTCACAGCCATTTATTTATTTTTTATTATTTCACAATTCGAGAGCAAGCAGCATTTGCATTTGAAAAACGGGTGGCATGCTGCTGCTTGCACAACATTACCTACACGGCAATAAAGGGTTTTATTGTTAGTTTTATTCATAGTTTTATTGTAAAGCATAGATTTAAATTTATACATTTATTTTCTCTATTGTAATATATTACCAATGTATCTGCTTGCATTCAAAACAACATACATATACAATACAGGGCAAGAATAGAAAGAAACCCGGATCATTGTTCTCTTATAACAGCGTGATTGGAAACTGCAGGTTGGACTGTGGACGAAATGCTGAACAGCACGTGAAGCTTTTGTCACAGAAAGTCACATGGATCACATCTCTTCCTCATTCTGAGGTCTCAACCACCGAGCACCCCGACCACGTCGGCGCGCTTTCATGCCTTCATGATCGAATGATTTCATATTTCATTTGATTAACAAGCAGGTGTACAGCTGCAGCTAATGAAGAGGCTGCAGAGTTTATGTCAGCTATTAAGGAACTCGTCGCAGTTTGACCGACCATGCAGGCTCGGCCTATCGAGGGAATCATACCGACAGCCGCGCTAATGCTCTGTCACACTTTGAGTTAAACGCCAACGGCATCCTCGCCGTTTTATCATCCACCTTTGCAAAACATTTTTTGACAATATTTGAAAGTAAATGTCCTTGTTATTTAGAAACTATCAAGAAAAGGTTGTCTGACGTAACGGTCAGACATGATTTGCTCTGTGGGAGTTTCTATCTCTTATTATTATTGACCAACATAATCTATGCATTCATTTTGCCAGACACGACTCTCTTAGAACCCGGTGTGGCTACATCGCCACCTCTTCGCCACTTGTTAGCGATGTGATCGTGAGCCGGCTTTGCCTATTGCGGAAGCCGCTGTTCCTGCGACCCCATCCTTTCAGCATTTTCTTCAGGTGGCTTTTGAATTTGACCCCCACAAACACGTAAAACACAGGGTTCAGGCAGCAGTGGGAAAAGGCGAGAAGTCGGCTGACGTAAAAGGCGTAATCGAGTCGCCGTGACGCCTCGCACATTTCGACCAAAACGCTTGAATCGACCTCTTGTTGGGGCCTCATGTTCAACGACTGCAGAAATATCACCGCGTTGTAAGGTGCCCAGCCCACGAAGAAAACTACCGTGAGCGCGAAAATGAGTTTCAACGTTTTGTTCTTCCTTCTCTGTGCAGTGGGACGCAGCAGCCTGCACATGATTTGAGAGTAGCAGAAAATGAACACCACTGAACTCAATAGGAAGAGGACGTTTTGCTGGTAGATCACCCACAACTTCCAGTAAGAGCTCGCCAAGACGCAACGCTCCTGGTCCACTTTGGTGGCGACGAAGGACGAGCCGGCCCCCAACGTGCTCACGGCCCACGTGATCACGCACGCCGCGACGCTGACGGAGCCTGTGGTGGACACCACGTTGGACAGAGGGCTCATGACGGCTACGTAGCGGTGAGCCGTCATCAGGATGAGGAAGATGCCGCTGCTGTAGAAGCCAACGTAGAAGACAAAGGTGGCCATTTTGCACGCGTGCTCCCCCAAAGTCCACTCGTGCACGTGGTTGTAGGCCCAGAAGGGCAGAGCGGCGGTGAAGAAGAGGTCCGACACGGCCAGGTTCAGGATGAAGGCGTTGGTGAGGGCTTTGAGATTCTCGTACTTGGCCAGAACCACGATGACCATGACGTTTCCGAACAGACTGAGGATGACCACGACGGAGAAGAGCACCACGGTGAACGTCGCCCCGAATTTTATGACGCTGGTTTTGTCGCACATTTGATCACCGCCGGAAGAGTCGTTGTCGTAACTGAAGGAGTCGTAGCGGTAGCTGGAGGACTCGTAGTCGTAGCTGGAGGACTCGTAGTCGTAGCCAGAGTCATTTTCTGTGCTTGTGTCAAAGGTGGAGTCAGCTGTTCCCATATTTCCACAGCAAGAAGAGAGAGTCTAAATTTGAAAAGGCTTTGTTATAGTTCAGAAAAAATATATATTAATTACAGCATAAGTACTTTTTAACCAGTGCAGAGTCCCACAACTGTTGTCACACTTTAATTTAAAGGATTTTTGTTACAACGCATGGCTTCACCTTTCTCCAGCTGAGCCATGCTCACTCAAACCTGGGACATGTGTATTCTTCAGGCTGTTGTTATCACTGAGATGGATTTTCAGCTTGATGTGAAAAAATGTTATGTACACAAAAAACGTTTGTGTAACAAATTTAATTATACAAATATTTCTAAACAATATGTTGATGGTATGATACAATATGTTGTAATATTATTATAACTGAGACTTGGTTATTCATTATTCAAACTTTGGTAGAACGTCATTTTGGATATCAATACATAAAGAAAATTGGTTTTCGGGAAGACTTTGACCATCAGCACTGTTCCAAATATTCTGAACAATCCACAGACCATGAACTGTTTTTTTTTTCAATAATGTTGCTGCGTAAATAATGGTCAAGTACCTCAAAAAAAAAATATATCCACAAGTTTATTATTTTCTAAGGATGACCTTAAAGCTACATTCTCAAAATAAGGAGATGCATCATTCACAGTTCAATTTCTATCTTTCGTGTTACACTGACAGGTCAAAATGAAATACATAAATATTTCAGTTAATATTTAAATGATTAAATACAAATAAGTAAACATTTTTACTTCAGTATCATGACATATCTTGACTAAAAACAAATAAATGAGAAATGTGGAAACTTACACGTTACCTGCACACAACAGAGTCCTTTGTACGAGTGTCATTGGAACTGGGAGTTGTTCCTTAAGTATCCACCACAAAGGTGAACCGAAATCTAACTTCATTTTCAGATCACCTATACAAATCAGACTTGTTCCCTAAAATGTTGTTATTCTGAATTGTTTTTACTGGCCTTCACACTTCAAAAATGAATAGTCTGACGAACTTAAAACTGTAATTTCTCAGTTTTTTCTCAGTAAACTCAGCTTAAAACTAAAAACAAGGTGAAAAATGCCCCATATACAGTTTGCATTACATTCAATGCATCTTATCATCATACAATTTTTTTTCTCCAAATTCCTATCTAAGCGGGCAAGCATCTTGATCACGGATAAAACAAACGTCAGGTAATATATTTTATGAAATATTATAGTTGTGAAGCACGATTCGTTTATTTATCTTTTGTCTCTGAACCAAACTACAAGGCTTTTAGCAGCAGCAGCTGGCCATTGATCGGTTAGGCCTGTCAATCATCGAGTGTCCCCGCCCCACAACAGCTAGCAAGTTTCTGCTGCATCATCTACAAATCGGACATTGCACAGTTTTACACAGCAAGTACGTTTATTACTTACTGGTTAACTGTTTATTTAATATTGACGTGTTGTTCGCTTAACATTCCACCAAACTGCAGTTGTTTTAAACAGAAGTTTACATCAAAAACACTGAGTAAAGAGGAGCTGCGAACAGGTGCACGTCGGATCTCCAGCTTTGACAATTCGATGTTTACGTCACTGTTTGTTGCCTTTTTTAAAGCCGCGTGAAAGTGATTTGAGTTCATTTTTGCTGCCCTGTTTCGCCCACCGCACACGGCAACACGTAACGAATTCCCTTAAAGAGCATTCTGTCGCTGCGAACGCGGACTCGCTTCGTCCTCCGTCGTGATGTTGTTCTGAGTGCGAAGCCGAAGCTTTGCTAACTTCAGTCAGCTGTCAGCGCGGCTGGTTCCTGCTCGCAGCTCCAGAGCAGCAGTCACACTCAGGGAATCTGTCTCACACCTTCTGGTTGTGGAAGAATTCAGTATTGTGTTTGTGGAGGAATAGGTGGTGAACCTGTGTGTGTGTGTGTGTGTGTGTGTGTGTGTGTGTGTGTGTTCACCTCCATGCAGTGGCATTTTGGCCATGTTGTCACATCTTGTGCTGTGATCACTAAGTTAATTTGTTTTTGGGGGGGCTCAGGTATATCTTTAACAATTCAGGGATGAACGGCGTTTATATTATGAGAACATTGTGAGATTATTCCCCAAAAAATAATCGTTTTAATCCTACAAGCAGATTTCCTGACTGGACCGCGTCACCATGGCCTCCTCGTCAGTTGGAGATAATCAACTGCAGAGGATAATCAGAGATCTGCATGGTAACTAGTTCACGCGTGCAGCGAGCGCCTCACAGTCTGTCACAGCATGATGCATGTAACGCACACAAGACACGGCCTGGCATTAGCGTGTGTGCATGTGTTGACGACGCTGTTTCTGTGCGCTTCAGATGCTGTGTTTGAGTTGAGTAAAGAACACAACGAGTGTGGTGAACCTGTAACGGATGACTGCCCCAACCTGCACAAGTTCTTCTATAAACTAGAATACCTGCTGCAGGTATGTTCTAACACACCGTGCGTGTTTTGTTTTGAGTTCATCAGGATCATCTGTTTTTTGTTTTTCGGGATTATCATGTATTTTGTTGTTGTGTTTACTCGTTTAACCATTCCACCAAGTTAGAATGAAACAACCTGAGGATCAAACATCCCCTTATTGGCTTAAGTTTGTTACATGCCAAACATCAGCTTCAAGCTACAAAAGGTCATGTTAAACAGGCTGTGAAAAACTAAAGACTCTTTCTAACAGACGTCTGTGAATTTTCCACACCTTTTTAGGAAACAGTCTAAAAAAGGTCAAGGGGAAAAAAAGTAAAAAAAGAATATTTGAAAAAGAATGTGTGTTTCAGAGAAAGCTGTGATGATCTTGTGACCAATTGAGTTCATTTCGTGACACTTTGAAGGTGTCGCCACCCACAGATTGGAAACCACACCTCTTGAGGAGACAATGGTGTATCATAGGAATCATATTAATTACAATTTTTACCATTACCATTAAATATTTATGCAGAGTCGTGCCAGAAAAAACCTTTCATACAATCCATACCGCTGAAGACATTTTATAATATATATGTAACATTAATTATGCAGTAATGAGGTCATGTGTCTTTCCTAGTTCGACCAGAAAGAGAAGACAACCTTTCTTGGTCAGAGGAAAGACTACTGGGATTACTTCTGCGACTGCCTGGTTAAGATCAAGGGAGCTAATGATGGCATCCGTTTTGTTAAGTCCATCGCTGAGGTAATCGTCCTCTGCAACACACGTGCAACACATGGAGGCACATAAGCGTGTAACTAATCCACAGGCGAGCCAGGTACAGTACGACTGTGCTGCTCATTCACCTGCTGCCTCGCACCTCGTTCCTCACGTCCTTTTCCTGGGGATTCACAGTGGTGAGCTTCATCCCGAAATGACTGCAGTGGAATTAGTCAAGGAAATAGAACCAGAACATTTTTGTCCTCTTTGCTTCCAAAAAGGTCTGTTATAATGGTTCACTATCTAAATATTAGTCGACGTGTTTTCTGGCAGTTTCCTAGTTTTTGAATTGACTGGTTGCTTCAGCAATACTCTCTAAAAAGGCCAAAGTAAATAGCTGATCATCTTATGTGAATATAGAATAAGAAATTTAAATATGTGTCAAGACCTGAGTTGGATTTCATTTCATTTTACTTTTGGGGATTTTCTCGATGTGATGGTGCTATTGCTTTATGTAAAATCGTATTACTGATGGATTTTTTTTATATTGCATGCTATTATTGAGAAGGAGAATACACATCTAACATCCAATGTATGTTGTGCTACAGTGCGACAAGTGGAGCCACTTGTTGTGTTTAATACTGACCAGACTACAGAACACATGGAAGGAAGGTGATGTGTGTGTCTGTGTGCGTGGATATTTGTGTGCATCCTCAGTTGAAGACTTCGCTGGGGAGAGGAAGGGCCTTCATCCGCTATTCACTCGTTCACCAGCGTCTTGCTGACACTCTGCAGCAGTGTTTTGTAAACCAGAAGGTCACAAGGTCAGAGAGAACATGCCTATTATACATATAATATATGTGTATGCGTGTGTATATAGATGTAACATTTCTCCTTTAAAGCTGCAAATAAATGTCATGCCTGTTTGGAAAGTGCAACTCTCCCTTCCTGATTTACATCTTATATCTGTATTCACGGCGAACACAACAGCCGCTTGGTGTAACCATCCACACCTACAGTCGGGTCTCACTTCCTCAGCCTTCCGCCAACTGAAAGTTATCTTAGTTTACCACAAACAGCACAGTGCAACCTTAAACCCAGTGCCTCACCAACGGCAAACAACATCATTATCATGTGACAAATTAAAGATGTGCTTGTGTTCGCCGTGTCCTCAGGATTGGGTTTTATGTTCTAATGGTTCTATTCTTCCCCTACAGCGACTGGTACTACGCCCGGAGTCCCTTCCTTAAGTCTCACGTCACTGCCGACATCATAAATCATCTTTATGAGCTCAACCAGATCCAGTTCGACGTGGCGCCCAGGGGTTACGACCTCGATGCAGATTGGCCAACTTTTGCCAGGTATAAAATGCCTACTATTATCTGTTGCTCGTTTGCTTTAAAAGGAAAACACAAGCTTGTATTTTTTTAAATGACAAAAAAACAATAATAAAAACTTTGTAAATTGATTGTAGGCGGACCGAAGGTAATTTGAAATAACCCCTCAATTGAGCGTAGTTAAAGCAGCACCGGCGGTGAAGCAAAATCAAGTATTTCACAACTTGGAGTGACACTTAATTATCTGATCACTCTTCACATTCACAGCTCTTTTCTTTGCTTAAGTGTGTGTAATTGTGTGTGCGAGTCAGGGGGTGCCGACAATGTGTGAGCGCTGATCACTGTTCTTCACGTCAGCACCTTTGCCAAAACTTTTCACTCTCCTGTCATCAATTTGCAGTCACTCTGCAGGCAGCGGACCCTATTTTAAAAGGCCTAATTTGTGTTGTTGTTGTGCATCAAATGACTGTGATTACCGGTGGAGTCTTACGATGTAATGCAGCGCAGCAACACCTCCAACAACACAAACCAGGGGCCTGAAGAAAGGTGTCGAATCAACACCTTTCACACAATTGAACAAGATATGAAGCTTACCAAATATACAAATGCATTATTTCTTTTTAAGGCTGTTATAGGCGGATGTATTGTGTGGTGTAAAGAAGGTGTGCCTTGTGTTCTTGTAATTTATTATTACCAAATACTTCCAATTACCATTAGTAGCCTAAAATACACGCTTCCAGAAGAGAAGAAACACTCGCTTTCATTCCACTGACTGAGGTTTGTACTGACTAAAGGCATTATCTGGATTTACCTTCTCATATTAAGTTGTACCAAATCAAAACATGGGACATTTCTTTGGAAATATGAAGAGAATAGGAGACCATACAATACAGTTTTACAATAGAGCCACATAAAGGCTTTTTTCAGTCAATTTAAGTTCCTCTTTTGTGTAAAGCTTGTTGTGTTTTATCGGTTGGCTGTCATGTTAATCTAACTCTTTGGCTTCATTGTCTGTTAAAGACCTTAATATTTGGTATGTCCTTATGTCAAAGGCGAACTTTAGGCAGCGCCTCGGCAGCTTTTGTGTGGAGGCCCCCCAGCCGCTGCTCCAGCATCAACAGTCTCGTAAGCAGCTTCTCACAGGTGCTTAAAAACACACCAAATGTCGGCAGTCCTGCAAAAATATTTGAGTAAATGTGACTTTTGAGCTTGACACTTTTCTCCATTTTCTAACCAGGTGCAGGAGTTTGCCCCAATCTCAGACCTCGGTCACGGCCTCCTTGGGGAGCTGGGGGAGCTGGGGGAACCATCTCCTTGCAGCATTGCAGAGAACCTCCGCATTGAGCTGGACCAGTCCGAGCTGAAACGGCAGGAGCTTCTGGTCCGGGTTCAGGAGTCGGGGAAAGAGGCCGCCGAGCTGAAAGCTGTGGTTGAGGACCTTCGAAGCCAGCTATTAGCAGCTCAGAAGTCCTCTGGCGACTTTTCATCTGCAGCAGCCCAAAGTAACCAAGGAACGGATAAGGAGGAGGAAGCAGATCGCCCTCAAACCGGCGGTGAAGCATTAATCGAACTCAATGAACTTAGAGACAGACTCACTGCCGCCGAGGATAAAAATATGGAGCTTCTCTCTAAGCTGGACGAGGCTTTTAAAGAAAAGGGACAACAAAACACCAGCTACTGCGACTCGGCCTGGGAGATCCAACAACTCCTGGATAAACTCAAGGCCACAGAGGAGGAGAGGATGGAAGCAAAGAGGGAGGCGGCTGACAGGGCCGGGAGCTCCGAGCGTCTGTCGCAGGAACTAAAGCTCAGGGAGGAAGAGTTGAGGAGCAGCGAGGCCAAGCTGGCCCAGATCCAATCGGGAGCCCACGACGAACGCGAGGTGGCGCTCAACAGGTTGGAGGAGCTCCAGAGTGCGGTCGGCCGAATTCAGGGGGCGCTGAGTTTGAAGGAAAAAGAGACGGGGAACTTGAGAGCCCAGCTTCAGGACCTCCAAGCCTCACTGGAGTGCAGAGAACGACAGGCGGAGGACCTCAGGAAAAGACTGCACGAGGAGAGGGACGAGGTGGAGCAGAGATGCAGCACCAGCAGCAGCCAAAACGAGAAACTCGAGAGCCAGCTGCTGGACGTGAGGACGGCTCTGAAAAAACGAGAGAAAGAGCTCGCCTTTAGTTCAGAGAAAATCAAGCACTTTGAAGAGCAGTTGGAGAAGCTAAATGCTGAGAAAGAAAGTCAGAGCTCTAGATCCGTTGATAATGAGGTGGCTTCCTCCGAGAACCTCGAGGACTACGAAACCCAATGCAGCAATCTCATGGAAACAAATGCTAAACTGCTCCAAACAGTAAAAACCAGTGAGCTGAGCATTACAGAGCTGACTGAGGGCAGGGCCGCCTTGTTAGACCAGCTGGCTTCTTTCAGAGCTTCTGAGAAGCACTTGAAGGGCCGAGTTGAGGCTGCAAAGATGTGTGTGGAAGATAGGGAGAAGAAGCTTCTGGATGAGAACCTGCATTTGGAGGAGACGGCGCAGAAGGTACTCGTCCAGAAGGAAGCATGTGATGCTCAGATGAAGAAGCTAGAGCTTGAAAACAAGGAGCTTCTCCGGGTCCAGTCTTTGTTGAAGAAAAGGTCGGCCACAACTCAACAAGAACTGGACTCCGTTACTGCCAAAGCTGCACAGCTGGACAAGAGCCTTATTGTGTCCCAAAGGAGCCAAGCAGAGTTACTTGAAAAACTCCAGGACACTGAGACCAAACTGAGAGAGCAGAACGTTGAATGTGGGCGTCTGCGAGCTCGAGCAGAGGAGCTGGAGAGCAGGACCGGGGAGCTCCACGGTGAAAAGGGAGCTGCGGAGAGCAATGAAAAAATGGCCAAGCTTCACGATGAGCATGAGAAGTCCTCGCTGGGAACCGAAGAGGCCTCGCTCAGGCTGGTTGTAGCTGAGGCCCAGCTGGAGTTCAACCTGCGGGAGGCGCGTCGGCTCCAGGACGAGGCGGTGGAGCTCCGCGCTCAGCTGCTCGCAGGAACGGAGGAGCGGATGAAGGTCCAGGCGCTTCAGGAGGTGACGGAGTCCTCCAGAGAGGACCTCCGCGTCTTGGCGGAACAACTCAAAGCCCAGGTGGAGGAGCTGAACCGCCGGCACGTGGATGAGATTCTCCGATCCCGGGAGCGAGAGGACGCTCTCATCCGGGAGCGTGACGGCGAGGCTCAGGCCAGAGCCGGTCTGGCCGCGGAGGCGGCGGCCTCGAGGGACGAGCTCGACGCACTGAAGTTGCGCCACGAGGCCCTGTGTCTGGAGTGCAGCGAATCCAGGGAGGCGCTCCACAGAGCCAACACGGAAACGGCGGAGCTCGGCGTGCACGTGTGCATGCTGACCGCCGAGAGCGAAGAAGCTCGTCTGCGCTGGGAGGGCTTGTCGACGAGGCTGCAGGAGCTGGACGGGGAGGCGGCCCGGGAGGCCGAGAGGCTGAATGCTTACCTGGAGCAGCTGAGGCAGGAGAACCAGCGGCTCCTCGATCAGCTGCTCCGTAGCGGCGGCGGGTCGCTGCAGGGAGAGCTCAGCGAGGCCAGAGAGACGAGCAGAGAGGAGATCCAGGAAATCCGGTTCCAGATCAGCAGCCAAGCCTTGAGCCACAGCAGCCAGCTACAGGTCAGCCAAGAGCAGTCGCGCTGAAGAATCGAAGGATGCTTTAATGAGTCTTATGCACTTAAGTACCCAGGTTACACAAAGCCGATCTCCATGTCAGCAAGAACACGTTTTAAATTGTTTTGTTGTTGGACAAAACCTGGTAAATCGCTTGTTTCTCATTGGATTGATACATGTATGCATGAGTAATTTGCATTTAATAACGTTTCTTTTTTGTTCATGGGAACATCCGAAAAAGCTTCTGTAATATCTGAATTCTTACCATATTAACAAAATAATCAGTTGATGAATTTTTATTCTCATACAGAATATAAATCAGGAGTTACAGGAAGTAAAACTAAAGGCGACGGAGCGGGACAAAGTGTTCGAACTGGAGAAGAGATTCAAACAGCTTGAGGTGAGAGGACACACTGATCCCATGTTTACCATTGGCAGGTTAATCTGGCCCCCGTCTAATCACTGAAGCACTCCAGGGAGGTTTGTATTATGACCCTGCAACACAAAGCCTGAGACTAAATCCATGAATGCGAAGCTCCATGTTAAAAACACACATTGCCGTTGCATTATGTATATTGACAATTGAAGTAAATCAAAAAACGATGGTCACAGGCATGATTTGCAGAGAACCAAAAATAATGTCTCGCTTTGCTTTGATGATTTCAGGCTGAGAATCAGAGGTATTGCCAACAGATTGAGGAGAAAAACATCCAGATGGCCGATTCTGAAAATCTCATCCAGCAGAAAGAAGACGAAATAATCCATCTGAAAAGGGATTTATCAAGGTGAGATACTGTATTCATAAGCACACATTCTGGACTGAATTAGAGCTCTGTGGAAAATGTGTGTCTGGATCAGAATGTTTATTTTTCATTTAGTATGCTTCATCTAGGAATTTGTCTTATTTGCTCTTTTAAAAATCAAGTCCAAAAATAAGGATCGCAGTCACCGGAGATTTCCCCCCCCTCGTGCCTTTGGACGCGTCACGAGTCGGCCTGTGTTTGTATTAATGCAGGTCTGAGGAGGCTCTAACAGCTGCTCGGCAAACCTGTCAGGAGATGAGTGAAAATCTACGGAGAGTCACGAAGGACAAACAGAGCTTCGATCTGAAGGCGTCCGCTGAACTCGATGATCTGTACCGCACCAAAATCAATTTAGAAGAGCGACTCGTGGAACTTATAAGGTATAAAACGTACACAATTACTCTGATCCACCGCAGCAGAACCAGGCTTGAATTTTTCCGTTCGTGTCTTTGTTTGTTTTGTATTTTTGGTCAGTGAGGTTGATTGATTTGATTTAAATAAAACGAGTGTTTGAGACACAAACAAATCCTCCACGCTGTGCACTATCATGCCGGGTGGGTCTCTCTGCAGGGAGAAAGACGCACTGTGGCAGAAGTCCGACGCCTTGGAGTTTGAGCAGAAACTGCGGGACGAGGAGACGGAGAGAGACGTCAACTACTGTCTCGGCTGTCACAGTCAGTTCAGCTGGTGGCTCCGCAAGCACAACTGCAGGTGAGGTTGTCACCTGTGGGACAAATTAACAAGGACTTTACTATGCAGTCGATATGTCAGCAGGTAAACCAATTAAAACCAGGGTACCAGAACTTCCCTTTTCGATGGAACCAAAGTCTGTGACGATTTTCTTTTGTGTTTCACTTCTCATTTAGGCGAGAACTAAATAGTGAAGTAAAAGACCTCAGCCAGTTGAATCGTTTTCATCAAAACGCAATAGAACATAATAAACGGCGGATCTTTGTTTACATTTAGAAAGTAGCACTAGAATATGATTCAGACTAAAACTAAAAGTAGTCACACTTGACTGTTTCATTCATTTAATTTCTCGCCACTTCTCCCGGTAGAAATGTATGCCGTGCATTAAGCAGTTTTTGGGCTCAATCTCCACCACAACACGTGTGTCCGCAGACTGTGTGGGCGCCCCTTCTGCTACTACTGCTGCAGTAACGCCGTGAGCACCCAGCAGGGCGGCCACAGAGAGCGCTGCTGCAGCGACTGCTACAACCAGCACAGCGCAGTAACAGAGCGCCACCCGCAGGAGGAAGTTGCTCACAGCACGCCGGGGACACCCTTCAGTCGGCTGCTGCAGGCTGGGAGAGCTGTGACGAGTGGTTCAGGTAACCAAACCACCAGATGCTGATGGAAAGCACACTTTAAGTGTGGGGGGGGGTGTCAAGAGCACTCGCAATGCGATGAATATTCAAATTGTTGTTATTTTCTAGGAGCAGATGAGGGTGAAAAGCTGAGTGATGGTGTTTTTGACATCATCACGGAGGAGGAGGTGAGCGGGGTCTATGACAGTGACTCCCTCTCTTTTGCCACCGCCTGCTCCCCCGGACACAGACAGCAGGGGGCGGCAACACTGTAAGTATCTCACAGGAATTCACTCTCGGGGAATTGATGGTGTCAGTGAACCAGGACAAGAGATATTTATACCAGTCACAGATTTGATTTGAGGAAAATGAATTCTGGAGCGGGATCTTGAAAAATGAATGAAAATCTTCTTTTCAGCTCATTTTTCTACATTCATTTAACATTTACATAATTTCCATTTATAGCATTTTCACATGTTTGCATTTGTTGTACAGTCCTACTAAGTGTGCTTTGAATGCTGTTGAGGCCTGCTTCTTGTGTCAAGGGCTACACAGGAAGTAACATGACTAGTTATTAAAAAACCTTTGCAAAAATGCTAACAAAATCAAAAGAGAAGGCAGTCAAAAGTTACACCTTCCCACCAAATAACCAGCCGAGTCAGAGGACAACGACATAGACCTGCAGCACGGGGCAACTAAAGCAGCAGTGCAGCTGAAGCCAAGAGTTGTGTCTGTGTGTGTGTGTGTGTGTTGTGTGACACCTTTCCATCCCCTAGAGATGGACAATACTGTCTTAGTCTTTCTGATGAAGAGGAGGAGTTTCTCTGATTCTCTCTATTTGATTCCGTCCGTATCACTACGGCGGACTTTGTTTGATCTTTTTACACAAAAGTTCTCCACTAAACGATACAAATGCACGTCGACGTCATGTAAGTGTAGAATATCTCTTCCCAGAAGCAACAGTGCCAGCGCTGGAGACCTGACGGCGGATGATACCGAGGACCTCAGCGCTGCAGTGCAGGATGCAGAGATCTGCCTGCTGAAGTCCGGGGACCTCACGTGAGTTCCGCATGCAGTGAAAGTTCTTTTGGGTTGTGCACCAATGGACGGCGGTCACAAGGTTGGGCTTCTTTTCTTCTAATGTCTGGCATTGACAACTTCCCTCAATGTCACTTGGTACGTGTTGTGGGATGTTTGTTTCACTTCTTCTGTAACTCGAGTGGAGTTTTGTGCAATAAGCATGCAGAAAGCTTGGAGTCAGCATGCAGTAGAATAGAATAGATCCACGATAGCAGAACAGATCATTTTAAACGCGGAAACCATCCGTGAAAAAGGTTCCATAAAACCTCCTGTGGCTCCAGAGGGAAGCTGCATGAAATGACGTCACTTCAGCCAGCTGAAAACAACAGGCTGCTCATCTGTGCTCCAGGCAAGCAGCCCGAGGCTACTTCAAGCACAACAACACTGAACTACCAACCCAACTGTCAGGTGTTGGGCTGCATGTGTAATATAGGCACCAGGCTTTCACAGGGAGGAATGCACAAGATGGAAAAGATCTCAGATGCTGCTGCATCAATTTGTTACTAACGCAACACGACAACATGTAAACGGTCTGGCGTCGCGTTTTCCCCCCACCGGGCTGCAGGCTCTCCGTCCTCTTCACGGTGGAGGACATCTCCGGGTTCGGGGACAGCTCTCGGGAGCTCTTCATCAAGTCCAGCTGTTACAGCACCATCCCCATCTCCGTGAGCAGTGCCGGTCCAACGGTCTCCTGGACCTTCACCTCCGAACCGAAGAGAATCTCCTTCAGTGTGATCTACAGGGAGAGTGCAGAGACTCCACTGGAGCAGGCCAAGGTGAGGGTAGAGGGAAGAACGGCAAGCAAAGTCCAGTATTTTGGGGTGGGATTAATTTGCTTCCGTCTGGCCGATTGTAACATCGTAAGGGCTCGCTGTGTCTCCACGTTGCCTCCTGAGAGGAGATCTCACAGCTGGCGCAAACAACGTGTCTCGTAAACGGACACAATCGTTAGTCCCGACATCCCTAAAGCTTGAACAAGATTTCCATCCTTTTGCTCCCCACAGGTCTTGATCCCGCTGACTCGCTGTAACTCGCACAGGGAGACGATCCAGGGCGAACTGAAAGTCCGAAACGCCGGAGAATACACGCTCGTCTTTGACAACTCTTTCTCCAGGTCGGTGGCTGTGTGCTCCGTGCGAGCACCTGATGCGTTTGCGAGACGCCCTCTTTACTCTTTAGCACAAAACGCCGTATTTCCACAGACCTGTGCACTGGAGAAAACTTCAAACGTTCCTTTGTTTCTGTTCGTTCAGGTTCATCTCCAAGAAAGTGCTGTACCATCTGAGTCTAGACAAACCCGTCGTCTACGACGGGACCGACCTCCTCTGAAGGGGACGGGAAGCAGGAGGAGCAGGTGTGAAACGGACTGTTGAAACACACGGGGGCTTTCAGCTCATAGTTTCAAGGCAACTGGCTCAGAGTCCACTAAGGTTTACCGACCTCTATGCATTGGAAAGAGAATAGAGAAAAACAGTGTTACACTATTGTGCGCATGCACTACCTTTAAAAAAAACTGACATAGTTTGAATTTAACACCAAATTTCTGTCTGAGGTGATTTTAGGACTGTTGTGTATTTGAATGTGAAGAACTTCTTAGCACCTAGAGATGTAGCCTCGGTTAGCAGCATCCTCGTAGCAGTGAAGCTGCATTTTTATTTATTTATTTGCCTCTTCTCAGAAAGCCCGACTACTGTCTTTTGAAATGGGACTGATGTGCTCTTTGCACAGTTCCAAAAATACATTTTCAGTGGCGAAATATTCACGACTCAAACAACCAGATGTGTTTTTAATCGATTTAGGGAATCTGTATGTTGAATATGTGACAAATCATTTGATTGATGAAAATAATACTTAATACTTTGTATGAATATATAATAATGTGAAGGATCATGTCCTGCTTATTGATTGGAACATCACCCAGAAGGGCTTAAATCACCTTGAGTGATTTAGCAGAGAACTATAAAAGGTTAGGATCAACCACTATTGTTTTACAATAAAATATTACATGGACGGGACGTGAAAAGATATACTTTTTTAAAGTTGGAAAAATGTAAATCTAATTTAACTCTAACCATAAATGTGTTTGTCTCTTCTTGCTTTAATGCTTCATTAGCACATTAGTTAGTATTTAACTCTTTAAACATTCATATTGTGCTGTTATTCAGTCGGTACGATACCTTCTAGCTTCTGTTGCCTTCTCAGCTCTCGAAAATGCAGAATATTTTTGTTTACGTGTTGCGATCACGATGAAGCAGAACAGGAAGAAAGCTGCACTTCAGCCACGTCACTCGGTTCGAAACGGGCTTCTGGTCAGTGCAGATATAACAGATATAACACACATTTCCCAGATTCAACCCTCCAGGGTGAAACAAAAAGCACATATCAAAATATTTACATATGTCTGTCAAGTTTTGACAAACGGCGAAGATTTTGTAACAAACGTAGTGAAGCTGGAAGCTGAAGTGACATTTCCTCACGACGTACATGAAGACTTTGAATTATAAAAAGTTTATTTTAGGAAACAGAAATAATTACGATAAGAATTATTTTTTTATTTCTAGACGGGAGGAGATGTTTCTTTTTTTATACCGTTGTTAACTGTTGCTTTGTTGCAGTGTGTCAAAAATAAATGTGAATCTCAGTATTCAGCCTTCAAATAATACATGTTTAAAAATCACTTTCATACTTGTCTTATATGGACCTTTTATTTAAAGGCTCTAATGTTCAAACATACCTGTATTTCTCTATTGTGTCTTCACTCATCATTCGATGACACCTACTTGAATACACAGAAGCATCGCTTTGCTGTTCAACAATTAACTTCAAATTTTGAACACGACACTCGGGAGAAAATTAGGAAAATGGCAAATGACTCTAAAACATATCTGAGAGATAAATTGCCAAAAGTAATGTGGTTTCATATTTGTCTATTTTATTGTTGTTGAAGGGGAGTAGAAGGCATTGCGACGTGACTGCTGTTTAATGCACTTTTGAAAGGACGTTTTGTCCCTCATGGATCCCATGAGCCTTTGTGCCAGTTGATGAATGTAGTTTATTTCATTTGTTTGAACCTAATGATCGTAGACGTGACTGTAGATTGACGGAGGGAAGCTTTCACTCTCTGACTCAACCTGCATATGATAGTTGGCAAATGTTTAACTGAAGTATAATTTACACGCTAAAGAATTACAATAGAACGGATTTAAGATTGTGGAGAAATAAATGAGAACTGTGTGATAACCAACTGAAGGAGTTCATTTACTGTGTCTTGCTAATTATCATCGCTTGTAATTACTTAGATTTTCGGATATTGCACACGAATGAGTGATTTGTCGAGTTTTTGTGCGTTTTGTGTGGTCTTTTGGGAGTGTGTTGGTTGTGCAGTCGCACAGCGGCAGGACGGAAGGACGCTGTCAAGCTGTTCACATTTCCACCATAATTATCTGTGTGACGCGAACGCGGCGTACGTGCAGCCTTACGGAGCTGCTGGCACACTAATTATATAAAGTACATACAACTAGTTGTCTCACAGAACTGATGTCTCGCAAAAGTAATAAATATGCCACTTTGGAAGGCAGTTTGTTGTAATTTTGGGAGCTGGGTGAACTGCATTGTGGGAAAATAGCGTCCGTCAACAGCACACTTTCAAATTTTTTTTTTTTAATTACCTCTGAATTGTGGCCATGTGGGGGTTTGGGTTTGGGGGGGGGGGGGTATTATATGTATAAAGTACACACGTGCTCGCTCCTCTCCTGCTTGTCTGTATCTGAGCATTCATGAGTTCACAAGGTGTTGTTCTAGCGAGGTGTCCGTCTCAGAGATGGTGTTTATTCATCGCGACGGCCATTCTTTTTCTCAAGGTTAATGATCTCATTCTAAATCATGTCACATCCTCCTCCTCCTCCTCCTCGCTGCTTCTCCCCTGCATTTCTCTCCTCCTGCTTTTACTGACTGTCATTCGTACTGTGGCCATGCATGTGTGTGTGTGTGTGCGCGTTGACTGCTAATGCAGCACAGAACCCACGTGTAGAGATAATAAATCCACAGACGGGGACATTCGCAGTATGCAGCGGTGAACGGATTCTTGTGCACGCATATAATGTGCGCATTTCTTATAGACTCCACCTCGAGCGATGTCACTTCCCGCTCACGTGATTCTATTCGCGTGCGCTCGCTCACTGTGACACAAACATGATGGGGAACACGCCTGTTTATCCCACGGTGACACTGGAACTTTGTAATAAAACGTGTCAGCAATCAACCTCCCTTATTTTCAAAACCAAAAGAACAGAAAAGACTTTCAGCACGGCGCTCCTGCAGCTCGTGGGAGTCTCCCGCTGTTCGGACACACGATGTAAGACATTTAGCAACATTTAAAATCAAGTGTCGGCCTCGTTACCTGAGCTGTGCCATTAATCATTGAAGCAACGTGAAGCGCTTCACGGTTTAAAACATCCAGCTGATAAAATGCCCGTCAGTGGTTGCCGATGACGTGAAATAATTACTCCTGCTTACCGACCACCTTGAGGAGTAGTTTCCTTTTTTTAGACTCTACAAAAACAATTACTTTTTTTTATCAGTTTAGCATATACAAAAATAATCAAATATCCTCGAACAAACTAGTGTTTATTATAGCAACATTATATTCAATCCCCATGATGTAATAATGTGGCTACTAAATCCTTGCAGACTTACAAATACAAATGTACAGAGTTGTTCTTCTATGTGTCCTGAGCAGACGACTTATCTGAGAATCACAGATTGGAGTGTCGGGCAGCACGCTCTCCACACTCCACCGCTCCCGCTTTGAAAGCTCTCATCCCTCTTAAGCTTCCCCCCCTCAGACGCCTTAACATAATCTGTACCTGCGTGACACGGCATTATCATCACTGAATAAAGATGGGTCAGCGTGAGCTGGCGGCCCCTCCGCGCTCGTACGAACTCGCCACTGCGTCTCCGCCGTGCGCCCGCCAATGTGTTGCGAGTGGAACCGCAAAAGGCCCTCTGGTGTGTGTTTGTGAGTGTACCTCCATCTGTCTACTCACTTGTGTGTGTGTGTGTGTGTGTTTGTTTCCTCTCTCAACAATGCTTCTCCTCGGGCGTTGCAGCCCTCCTGTAGCAGTACAGGCAAGTTGCGTTGCCTGTACTGTGAGTTGCCCGCATCTCCCGCTGCACCGGGACCCGTCGTCACCACGGAGGCTTCCCTCACTCGCGCGCACACACAGCGGCAGGTTATGTTCCCTCACTGGCATCAGCCTCATCAGCCCCCCCCCCCCCCTTACAAGATTTACCTCAAACCTCGTTTCCACAGCCAGAAACTCTTCTGCTTCTCCTTTATTGCTCGTCCTACCTTCTCTGATTGAGAAGGATTCTGATCGTTCTGACGCCTACCTGTGGTGAATAGAGTTAAGAGTAAACCAAGTCAGCTACCTGAGAGATTCGCTGAGTCGATCCTCATCCCTCTACATTTCTCCTGCTGTGTGCCTTTAGTGCAGTATTTTTAGAGCACCATATCTGAACTTGCTTTTCCCCTCCACATGTATCAGAAGAACTAGTGATGTTTTTCTCCCCCACCGTCCCCCGCCGGCTCCTGGTTTTCGATCGATCGAGCCTGGAGATTTTGTTTCTGTAGCGTAGAACATGCAGCCTCCCGTCTGGCTTCGTTGGAGTCGTCGTGTAGAAGAATTAAAAGGCTCAAGAAAACCGAAACTGCAGAGTGATCCTCAAATGAAACGAATGCATATATGTATCATTGTGTACGGTGTTGGTATGAGTCACGTATGTGCAGCTGATATTCTGATATATTATATTCATTCCTTTTTTACCCAAACATCCATCGATTCACTCCCCCCCGCCTCTCCCTCCCCATCTTCAGTCCCATATCCAGCAGAGGGGGAAGGAGGAGAAGACGGCGCATAGTTGTTCATTACAGCCTTTCTTCTATCCAGAGGTACATAGTGAAATGGAAGCGTGATGGCCACTGTTTCCATGGCAACTCGGCTCGAGCAACCTCCGCCTACAACATCTCAAAAGATCAGAGATGTTATTTTTAAAGCAACATGAGACGAGATGGTGTCTAAAGCTTGAGGGGAGAAAGAAATGAGGAATTCTGATACCGGACCAGAACTGCTTCGTACAGCTGCTGAACAGTGACCACAGTCCACGTGTTTTGGGATGGAGTGAGGAAGCCACAGCAGCAATGTCTCTCTGTGGGACTTTGAGTGGTGATGGGTCACTGCGCAACAGCCCAAAAACATTCACCATCTACAAGCACTTTATTCTGACAGAACAAGAAATACTTTTTGTAATGTTTTTCAATGCTTTATCGGCATTTTATTAAATATTATTCGTACAAATGGGAGAATATTTAGGCGTTGATGCTGTAAGTGTTTCCACTAATTTGTGGGGTTAAAAAATACAAAATAAAATACTTGTGTGTGATGGTAAAGGTTATAAAAGTTGACTTTTCATTAGCAAATGTGTGCAATGGATGTCTTGTGCCAACATACATCGAGGCACAGCAGGACTTGGCTGAGACCACAAGCGTCCCTCTCTGCGTCTCTGCCTGCTTCCCCTTGGCGACGGGTTTCAAACTGGTGTACGCCGCAACTCCAACATAGCGCTGCGGGCTCCCCGGCGGACGGACTTGCCAGTGTGCGTTTCCATGGAGACGCGGTCTGTTCTCGCCCCCCTGCAGCCCGTGTCATTGACTTCAATTAGTGCAGAAGGCCGTCTTGCCTAAGCACACACTTACGCCGAGAGCCGGGCTCAAAAGGGGTTGCAGAGAAATTGTGAGGGCGCGGGGACACGATGGAGAGAGGACTCCAGGGCCACAGAGAGGACTCATGATGTACTGGCATTCATCCTAATTCTGGGACATTGACAAAACAAACGGAGGGACATTCATATTTAAACTGAGAGCTGCGGCCTCAGTGAGACGGGCCGTGCAACTACAGTACGATCTCTCCGGGCAAATCACGCCTCCCATTGATCATGATTTACAACACAAGAAAATGGGATAATCTCATGCAAACCCCTCGTTCTGAATCTCAAGTCTCTGCTGAGCCTCTGCTGAGATCCAGGGAACCCTGGATTCTGCCGTGGTGAGACGGGCCTTCAAAGAGATTCAACCTTGACTCCCCCCCCCCCCCCCCCAGCTCGTTGCGAGCGCGCTCCCATGTTGCATCTGTAATCACCGCCAACAGGTGCATCACCGCACAGCCGAGTTGGAGATTTAATTTAGAGATGCTGCCCGGGACATTAACCCTGCTAATTACAACAACGCGCTCCGCGTTCGAACCGCTGGGAGGAAACGGGGTGGACCCGGGGAAAAGCACACAATTACTTTAGCTGGCGTTGTGGGGGGGGAGTACGGGGGAAGAGGAGCAGAGCACCAACGGACCTCGTTCAGGACTCTGTGTGCAGATCGTGTGATGGACGGGGACGTCGTGAGGAGCTTCCCGTTAACGGGCTGCTGGATGAATATCCGGGAAATGTGTTGCACAAATTCACGTCCCTTCTGGATGGATGCATGCGTTCCGGGAAATGTGATCAATTTAGGGACACTTCGTCTCCCCATCAGGTCAAATGTGTATTTTATAACCACATTTTGTGATGAAGACATTACGCTCCTCTCAACCTCATCTGAGCATCCCGACAACACAACTCTGTCCAGCAGAGCCTCACACAGCATCTGACGCGCTGTAGACTCTAAACATATTTAGAATTGGCTAAACATTCGTATTAACACATTACTAAGTAAAAAATTGTTGGAAATGTTGCGTTCATTTTCAATGGAGTGAAAATTAATAAAACAGCATTTGTTGTTAAATAGGTGTTTCCTGGGACAGATACACAATATCATCAAGAGGTTTTGGGGAGGAATAACTAATGTCTAATAACTAATATCTAATGACTTATGACAGAAAGGTTCATTTTAATATGAATCAACAGATTCCAAGCAAAACGCTGCAATGGTCCCTAAAGACCGCATGTACAATGTATATCTGTGTGTGTGTGTGTGTGTGTGTGCGTGCATTTCATGTACATCTGCATTTCCCTTTACGCTGTGAAACCGAATCGGGGGACGCCGTAACCATCCTGTGATCTTTTATTCATCCGTTCGGCTTCTCCTCTTCGCTCCTCGCCTCCGCAGCAGGGAGCTCAGCATCTGACGGCGTTCGCTGCAAACCGGCTGAAGTGACAACTAGAGGAGAGGAGAATAGAGGAGGCGGTGGGTGGGGG